CGTGAGCATCACCACGCCCACCCATTACCCTGTGCTTGACACTCAATTCCAACAGAAGCAGAACTCGGAGGACTTTGACATTCTTACTCAAGTGTGTGCTACACAGCTTCCCTTGGTGTACTTAATTCGATTGTGTTAGCACCCTTGCAGCCATAATGACTATTTTTCATGCCATACAGGATCCTGTAAACTCTCATAGGACCTTTATGGGCACATTTATGATACTGTCCACCTTCCATTTGAGGTTTTCTCATTTTCAGTGACTTCTTAGTGTGAGCACCAGAGAGTGGCTGGAACCACTCTCCCTCTGTCTCAAGAAGTTCTTAACTAGGAACAGTGCAAACCAGCTTCCTCAGCGAGGGGCTGTGTCCCATCCAGGCCCTCTCTGGTGATTGTCACCAGGTATAGGATTTGTCCTACATAGCTTTCTTAAACCAATAAGGTCGGGACTTCAGTTCGTTTACCCCTGTTGACTGACAAGTTGCTATCACAGTGGTAGAACAGGCAGGTACATAGACAAACAGGTCTACCTTCAGGAACCCTCAAAATGCCAAAGACTCTCCAAATTAGAAACTGTGTCTGAAAAATATTCACTGCTAGTATGGAATTGGGAAGGCAGAAGATAATGTGGATTATCTATACACCAGTGATGTCAATCCAGTGGAAATACTGTGACCCAGTCTTAGGTCCTTAAGAGAGGGGCGAGCTCCCTGGGGGGATGGGAAGTGAAAAAAAAAAACAAAACGCATGGTGGTGACCAGCTAGATTATACTTTGTTACTAAACTTGTAAATATATTTCTTCTTTATTCTAAACATGACCTACTTCGTTTCCCCATTTTTATAATAATACTTGCATAAAAATACTCATGGTAAAGCAATTTTGGAAATGGCTTTTCACTATCCTGGAAATCTGTTCGTTCATGAACGGATTGTTAGGCTATGTTAGTTGAAACAGAATTGGAACTACAAAGAAAATTGAAATTGCATACTCAGTGGCATGCTTGAGAACACTTGGAGAAATTCTGTCTCCATTCCCTTGGGCTCAAAAATCAGAGGCAGCCCTGCATCTCTTATCAAATCCACGAGAGAAGTTTGGAGGAACTGAAACTTGTGGCTATTTTTCCCTTTGCTTTTTTAAACCTTTTTCATGGGATTTTTTTCAGAAATTAAAATATAATACCTTCTGCCTTATCAGAAAGTTAAAACCAGAGTATAGGATTTGTGCACACACACACAAAAAAAATGGCATTTGGGGAGTGCAGTGAACGGCTGGTAGCAGCCTGGCCCCAGGATAGACTCTTAGCACGTGGTTATTAAAGCAGCAATTCTAACAGTGCAGTGGCTGGTTAGACCAACATTGTAATGAGAATATCACCTCTCTTTTGTCATAAGGGATCTATGTTGATGATAGGATTGTAGTTTGTTATTAATATATAAAACAGGGCTGGAGAAGTAGCTCAGTGGTAGAGCACTTACCATGGGCAAAGCTCCCAACACCACAGAATGTTTTCTGTTCTCTCTCTCTCTCTCTCTCTCTCTCTCTCTCTCTCTCTCTCTCTCCCCCCACCCCCCCCCCTTGAGTTTTGGAGTGATCACAACAGCAGCCCTTGGTTAATCTTCTTACCTTCTTGATGGTGTGCGTCTCACACAGCAAGCCCACGTAAGCCTGTTCAAAGCGATAGCTAAAGATGCATCCCAGCATAGGTTGGAGTCCTCACTGGCTTTGCAAGGCTCTTAGACCCCTAAAAAAGCCAACAAAGGCCTCCTGGGTCTTGTATGCTGGGACTCTTGCCCTTTTGTCCAGCCTTATGGCATGTGTCTCAGGTTGCCTTTCACTTACAACACCTGCCGGGTTTGCTCTGTTGTAAGATACTTTCTGTGGCTGCTGGCTCTGCCTAGAATGTTCTTCCGCTCCCACTGTGAGCCTGCCTGTCCTTCTTTCGTAGGTCTCAGCTCAAATTCATTCTTTCTCCTTCATCCATTAACCCCTATCCCCTTACGCTGTATTTCCTCACAACTGCTCACATACGTGTGGCTCTCTTTCCAATGGAAACGTAAGTGGCAAGAAAGCAGAATCCTTGTCCGTCCTGTTTTTCCCGCTCCCAGAATCATTGAAAATGACCAGAGACTATTGAAAAAGCCAGTGTACAAAGGTGTGGAAGGGTAATCCCCAAAATGTTAATAGTGACTAGAGGAAGGAGGGGGATTTGCAGTGATTTGAACTGATCTTTCCCTTTAGTTCACTGGTACCCGCTCATCTCTCGGGCAGGATCATCTCTTCCTATGTGGGTCTTTCTAAATGACTCCAGCGCTTACCTGGGCTGAGGAGCTGGTTCTGAGGATGCTGGACAGTGGCAGAGTGTGCAACACTATGGCCGGGCCCTGAGCTAACTCCTGTCATAGGTCATAAAACTCACATTCAAAGGGAGGCGCTTTCCCCAGGTTCTGGGGTGATATGCCCACCCACGTCCCTGTGCCGGATAAAAGCATGGGATGTGCAGCCAAACACAGATGCGCACAGCTTTATCTCCCAGGTTCCCGACCCCGGCCCCATTTGCCAGCCTTGCTCTGGCAATCACGGCGTCACTTTGACTTGCCAGCTTTGCTATAGCAATCACAACGGCACTTTGCTCCAGGGAAAAGCCATTATAAACACAGCACATGGGGCACAGGAGTGAGATTTGCTTCAGCACACTGCTTTTTCCCCCAAAGATAATGTGCAGCTGTTAGTCCTACATTTAACAGCAAGACAGACGGTCTGCCTGTTTTCTAGCAAATAGCGATAATAATAAAATATAACTTAAATAATAATCCACATCATGGTCTGTACCTTCCAAGGTTGTCCGACTGTAACAGTAACAGAATTCCAAGTGCTAACTGCTTCTGTCTTAGAAGCGATAGGCACGGTAATTTGCAGTCTTTAAAACCTAAAATCATTTTGGAGACTTGTCTCACACCGGAAGCCTAAGCTGGCCTTGGGGAGTGCGGGGATTACATGTTTGCTACTGTTCCCGGCCCAGAAGTTTTTAGGTGGTTGTTATTTTTGTTGTTGCTGTTCATTTGTTACTCTGTATTTTAAAGCTGAGCTGGTGCGGTGTGTGACTTTACCTAAGTGACTTTGAGAACTTGTTCAGGCTGCCGCGTAACTGAACAAAAGCAGAGTTCCCATAGCTAGGGCCCTACACAAGTAAGGCTCTCGTTCATTTGTACTGTCCACGATTCATGTTTCAGCTCAGTGAAGTCTCTTCACGCAGGCAGTGAGGAAGGGGAAAAAGAAAATCAGGAGTAAAAAATGAGCAACTAGTTTAAAAAAAGAAAGAAGTTGGCATTTCAGATATGGCGGTCTTATTTTTCATATGGATATGGTACTATATGTTAAGGTATATACATATATATGTATATATATATACCTTACCCAAGCAAGGTAAAGGCTATTGAATATATATACCCTATATATACCTATATATTCAATACATAGGGTTTCTACTTTATATATAAATATATACATATATATATATATACACAGACACACACACAAACTTTTATGTATAAATAAATACAGGTTTTCTACTCTATTATAAATGTCAGGCTCCTGCAGAACCCTGACCTTCCCTTAGGGTTTTTCAGCTCCAGTCCTGCAGTGTATGTGGGGTTGAAGCCATTTATGTTCAGGAACCCCTATGCCTTGGAAAAGCAGTACAGACGGCGGTAAGGCAGTACCCTTTCCATGTGAAAACACAGACTATTTAAAGGAAAAGCCTTCATTCTGGAATGAGTGCTACCCTACTGTGGGAAAGCTACGTGTCTCTGAGGTCTCCCGGGTGTTGCAGGGATCTGGTTTGGTTTGGTTGTGACTGACTTTTCTCCCCAGTTCCCCCCACCCTCCTGCATTCCTGGGCTTCCTGAAAACATCCCAGGGTTTTGTTGTTGGTTTTTTTTTTTCCATTTGATGAGCAAAGATACCCTGAAGAAAAGTTGACTTATCCCTACTATTTGGAATACACACCCCAGATGATGCAAAGCCGTGGCGTGTTAAGTGTCGTTTGGCATGAGACACAGGAGGAGTGAGATTGAGCCTGGTGACTGGGAGCACCAGGATGCCGCCCGCCTGGCTAAAAGACCCAGCAGTAGGGCCAGCTATTGTAAAGCCCCTCCGCCAGATGAACAGGGACCCTTCTCTGGTCACAATAGCCATTCACACTGAGCCGCCTCATTAAATATTCAGCCCGTCTTTCCGGCAGCTCATTAAGGCCTCAGCAAGCAGTGACGCGGATGCTGGAAAGCTGAGGGCTGGCCAGCATCTCAGGCAGAGGCTGCGTGAGCTGCTCCTAGCCTTGCTGTTCACTGCCTGTCCTGGGATGACCAGTGTGTGTTCCCTGCTTTGCTTGAAGTACAGGTAAAAAGAAAGCTCAGACGAAGGCAAGCAGAAAACACCTGCAGGTTTCTGCCCCGGCCTTAGAGGTTGTCTGGAAAGAACCTCTGTTTGGGGCATGCTTATCCTATTGAAGCCCCTTGACCCCTTTAAAAGCTGTTTGAGGATTTGGGGCCTTGGCTAAGCACAGACAATGTGGTGCCATTATGCAGTAGGGTTGTTTGATGGCTGTATTGGAGGGGATTCAAGGTGTGGTTTTGAACTTGGTACTTGGGGGGGCTGGTGAGACTAGCAGACGGTTCCTCTGTAACCCGTCAGCTGGAGAGAAACGGGGTAGTGTCCTCACAGCATGTGCAGGAGGCTGCTCTGTGCCAAATTCTTACTTACTCGAGTCGTTTGGGGCTCTGTGGTTGCAGCTGGCTGTGATAGGCGATGCCCTCAGACCTTGGGGTTCCTCCAGTGTGCCGAACGCTCTGCTTTTGCATTTACCACTTTTCCTTGGGTCTGCTGTCCGTGCTGTGCGATGTTTCAAGCTGGGGAAGCTGTTAAAGAAGGATTCTGAGATGATAAACTCAGACGCAGTGTGCTTCTGTGCTCACGGTTGCCCTCTTTTCCTTTTCCGCACAGAAAATGTTTCCAGACTGCTCACTTCTATGTGGAAGACAGCAACTCACCTCGGGTGGTCCCCAACGAAAGTATTCCTATTATTCCCATCCCGGGTAAGTGGGCCCTGCAGCATCCCCAGTGGGTTGTGCTTTCTCTTTTGTTCTGTTTTCTGTGATGCACACGACAAAATATCACTGTCATGGCTGTTTGAAGCTTGCCCGGTCCAAGGTTTATTTCACTAAGGCTAATGTCATAAAATCTGGCCCCTTTTCATATCTACAAAGTAACAAAATCCTCATTGCAGAAGAAAATACCTATGGGTTAGCGTAGGACAGCGTCACCATAAGGAGAAAAAAGTGGCGGCTCCAACGTGGAAAATACACCGATTTTTAAGTCATAATGTGTGAACATATTTTCAAAGGTGAGTTTTCCTCCAAGACTCCATATAGTGTTAGCGTTTTTGGAACCTTGGACACTTGGGGGGTGCTGTTTGTGTTACTAGAGTGGTCTGTTACAGCACGATCCTCGAACGGTTACAGAGTGATAAGGATTGCTAGGACACACTAGAGACAGTGCAAGGAAATGCTGCAGGTCCTGGAAGCTTGGAGCGGGGCTGGCTGTCACAGTAGGGAGTGGGGTTTCAAGATCTCAGCCACCGGTCATGTGCGCATCCTTTTCCCTTTGGTCAGCTATGAACTAGGTACTGCTGAGGTGTGTGTGTGTGTGTGTGTGTGTGTGTGTGTGTGTGTGAATACATGTATTTGGATATCTTATGCATCTTCCTGACATTGCTTTTTAATACAGAGAAAGTACTTTGAATAGTGCTATTTCTCCTTACCTGCAAAATACCAGTCAGTCTGCTTCCTTACCACAAAGTTCTTACCAGCTAATCTATTTTGCTTATTTGAAATCACTTTATCTTCACTATATAAGGGCGAATGGGTGTATTTTTGGGGGCTCTAAGACTACCTACCACATATTCGGCAGTTTCTACTGTTAGATGGATGCATGAACGTTCGCAACACATCTAAAAGTTTATAAAAAAGCCATTGCATGAAGCTCAAGGTACAGCCATTCTCTGGCTAACAAAAAGCAATTGTGTTTGAGAGTCTCATGAGGTATGGTTATGGTCGGGGACGTAATTGTCCCTTTCTGTGTCTGCCTATGTTGTCGTTAGGTGTTGCTGGAATTGGCTTTATCTAGGCAGCCTTTTCTCATTAGAGATGTCAGAGAGACAAGATAGATAACAGAATGGCCTTGCTTGTTCCTGCTGGGTAGACAGCTAAAGGGTTAAATGCGGGTGGGGATGGGTCCTGTGACACCCTGGGTTCTTCCCCCTAACTTTTATCCTTGATGGGGGAACTGCACCTGGTATGAAGAGCAGAGAGAGGAACTAACAGACTCCTTCAAGACGATGGTCCCTCCCCTCGCGTTGCGCGGGAGCATTGTGTATACTCACTTTCAGCGTGCATGTTCACTAAGGGGCTCCGTCACGATGGATGGATGGATGGATGGTTGGTTCGTCCCGTGGCTTAGGCAGGAGCAGTCTGTATCCTCGCTTTCCTCCAATATTGCCCAGAATATGTGGTGACTGCTGGGAAATCCCTGGGAGCCACTTTCTCCTTGCAAGTGACTCACCCGACAAGCACAGTTTTTAGGTGGATAGACGTCACTTGTAAAGTGACATGAGGCATAGGAAGTGGCTCACGGCTTCTAGGCCAGCCTGTGTCACACAGGGAGTCGATCCCTCCCTAAGCTCCACAGCACAACTAAGGTTCTCATAGGTAGAATAATGCTTACCTGCATTTCCCAAGGCTTGTGGTTGGAACTCATCACCACACAATGTCGATAATAATTTAAAAAAATGACAAAGTAACCAAACATCTGGAAAGTCACTTTGTGTGTACGTGTGTATTTTTGGTATGTATATACGTGCATACCTGTATGCGTCCGAGATGCCGGGGATCTGCCATACAAGAATTCTACCAATGAGCTGCACACCTGGCCAGGTACAATTCTTCTGAGTCAGCAAATGTAAGATTCTCATTAGCGATTAGTGAAGAATTACCAAAGTATATGTCTTAGTTAAGGCTTTTATTGCCGTGATACCGTGACCATGACAACTTATAAAGGAAAATATTTAATTGGGGTGGCTCCTTTACAGTTTCAGAGGTTCAGCCCGTTACGTCATGAAGGGGAGCATGTGCCATGCAGGCAGACGTGGTGCTGGAACTGAAAGGGCCACATCTTGAGGCAACAAGAAGTCGACTGTCACACTGAGGGAAGCTTAAGCAAGAGACCTCAAAGCCCGCCCCTCCAGTGACATAGTTCCTCCAAGGCCAAAGCCCCTAATAGTTCCACTCTTCTTGGAGGTCGTTTTCTTTCAAACCACCACAGTGCATTACCTCAAGATTGTATTCTCTGTAGTAGATCATTCGTTTAGACTTGTGGCGTAGATAAGCATTTTAAAATTAGAAGTTAGTTCATGAAATTAACCCGCTTCAAACCCTGGAAGAGAGTTCCAGATATGCAACATGTCAAAAACAAATGTCCTTAAAAACGCTTTCTCTGGAAAGCTTAGCTTTCTAATAAGCATATTATAAAACAAACTGTGGGAGCTGCCAGTAGCCTAAGAATCTAGAAATGGTTCCGCTTTTCCAGCGGTTAAAATATAGCTTAATAAATTGAAGGTCACTGGCTTCAGCTGGGTGCCAGCGTAGAAAGGGTTTTATATGTTGCTGTTTAAACCATTGGGATTAAATCAACCCTTTTGGGATATTTTATTTATACAAAGATTATCTCCAAAGGAGATTCATTGGCATTTTGACTATAATGAAAGCCTTTCTTCATTGACTTCATTGTGCCATAAATGAAAAGATTTCTTTTTATGTCGGGAAATAAAATGCTCTAATCTCCAAATACTCCTTACATCCGAAGAGTTTGATTTAGACAAAAATCTGCTTGTGCTCGTAACGCAGGGGACTAAAATCTTGACTGTGCTTTTTTCTTTCATTTTTGTTTCATCTTCCTAAGTTGACACAGACAGAGGTCATACTAAGCCTGGAACCTGCAACTGAACTTGAGGAGGCTGGAAGGGCAGTCGGAGGGGAACTGGGCTCTTGAGATTGAGGTCTGTCCACTAGGAATGTGTTTAGCGGCCCCTGGTAGTGTCTTGATGGGGAGGACTGGAAATGTATTTGAGCATCAAGGATGTAAATGGAGCCTGGTACTAGAATTTTACATGTTCTCACTGCTACGGGTGGCATTGGCTGGAATTGGGGATAAGGTTCGAAATCTACTGAGGGTTAAATAAACCTTGTACAGGGACTCCTCCTCCTCCTTCTTCCTCTTCCTCCTCTTCCTCCTCCTCCTTCCTATTCCTCCTCCTCCTCCTCTTCTTCCTCTTCCTCCTCTTCCTCCTCCTCCTTCTTCCTCCTCTCCTCTCCCTCTCCCTCCTGCTCTTCCTCCTCCTCCCTCCTTCCTTCTTGTTTCTTCTTTACAGAATAGGCAACCTAAGGACTTCTGAAATCCTACTGTATCTGTGTATATGCCCATCCACTTCCCAAGGCAGCAAAAAGGATCTTCCCTTAAATAGAGCTTTAGCCAGTGAATCCAGCAGCTAGCATTGGTAAGAACATAAATACTTAGTACCTTTCTTTACCTAACGTCAACAAGGTGACCAGTGAGCCGGTGTGAGCTTGTCAGGAAGCGAAACTTCCCATTAAAGGAAAACATGTCACTTCAGTAATTTGCATGGGAAGGATCTGGTCAAGTGTCAGGTCTGGAAGGCACTGCACTCAGGGTGAGCCTGGCCCTTGAGACATCCTAGCCCGCCAATAGCTGGAGGACAGTAGGCAAGTGCCTTGTGTCTCTAGATCATTTCGTCTCTCCCTTGGATCAGAAGGTACAGAGAGAGCAAGTGTGCCTAATGACACCTCATAGTTACTAAAGTCACCAAATGCCAAGCCAAGCCTTCAGCAAGTCCTTACCTTGTTATTTCTCAGAGCACTTAGTGCGGTGGCTCTCTACCTTCTCAATGCTGGGAACCTTTGATACAGTTCCTCAGCTGTAAAAGTATTTTGTTGCTACTTCGTAACTGTAATTTTGGTGCTGCTTTGAATTGCAAGGTAAATTTGCAACCCCTGTAAAAGGGTCATTTGACCCTCAAACTGGTTGAGACCCACAGGTTGAGAACCACTGACTTAGTGACTAAGGCATTGTTATTGCTGCCATTTCCCAGATAGGGGAAAGGAATCCCAGGGAGGCAGGCTTTGCTCTGACTTCTCTGCTCACTTTGCGGAGTGGAAGTGCCTGGCCCATAGAAGGAGTTAATTAGACGGGACTGGTAAAATGAGCTTCATTCTCCTGATGGCTGAGTAAGAGGCTGAAGTTGGGGCTAGCCCTTGCTATAACCAAAGATGACAGCAAGAAAGTTAACTTTTTTCTTTTCCTTAAGCTAAGGAGAGAACAGAGCTAGCATGAGTGAATTGGTTGGAGAAGCTTAAGGTATTGGAGATTTGCCTCTTTTTGGTTCTGAAGATGCAGGGCCTTACCCCGTGGATCTGTGAAGGGATTTTCTTTATGTTCAAATGCATTGTTCTTTATTCCCAGGACTGGTATGTGAGAACATCATTACCTGAGCTTTGATGCCTTACCTGGGCAAAAGTTGCTGTCCACACTCCATCCTAATCAGGGTCTAGGATAAGGGGTTTATTGTGGATGAGCCCAGATGAAAACTATTTATAAAAAAAAAAACCTTTTTCCTGGTTTAATTCTCATCCCAAAAGCTAAGAATGATCATATTTGATAACAGAGTTCACGCTTTAGATACTGATTCTCAGTTGATTGTATAAAACATTTTATAATCGCGGGGTTTAGTGATCAGGAGTGGCGGCCTCATTTTCACCTAGCAAATCTAAGATAGCAGAAAATTCTACAAATAAGAATACTAGCACAAAATGATTCTTGCTTACCAGCCTACCCAAGGTACTGCGTTCAGTGCCGTGCTTCCCTCTTCACTAGCCTAACTTTCAGAAACACTGTCCAGGCTTTGACTCCACCGGGCCAAAGCTCAACACTGTATTCCCTTTAGATAAGCGGCCTCAAGCATCCGTAGGTCTATCCCAGAAACATTTCTGTTCCCTTCACCTGGTTCCTCTAAAAATAAAAAATGCATTCAGAGTATTGTCGTGGGTTTTGGCAACCAGGACAGGCCAAGTGGTTGCTCTCTTTGAATTAGACCAACTCCAGCTTTATGTGGTCTCCCCATATATCCTAGGACTTTACTTCTAAGCCTGGAGTTTGCCCACCTTTTTTTCAAGTTTCTCCCATAACTTCACAGCATCAGAGGTCTCCCTCCCCTCCGCATCCAGGTTTTGACGGCACTGGCAGTGTTTAGTCTGGAGATTACACACTGGCTTTTCCTTCACTTTCTTATGTTGACTTGACTTCTGACACAGACGTCAGCCATGAACAGGGACTGTCTCCCTAACTGCTGGCCGATCCTGGGTGCTCAGCCCGTAAATGTGATTACCCACAGTGGAAATCACACTGTGAGTTGGAGCACCCCGTTATGGGTCAGCAGCCGGCTTTTCTAGGCCATGCCTGTCTGTGATGGCTAATGTTGGTTGTCGACTTCACATACCTCGGAAAGGGGGGACCTTAATTGAGAAATGACCTTCATCCGATTGGCCTGTGGGCACATCTGCGTCGCATTTTCCTGACTGATAATTGATGTAGAGGCCCAGCCCATTACAGATGGTACCATCCATTAGGAACATAGACCTGGGCAATAGAAGAAACATAGATGGTCGAGAACCTGGAGCGAGCCAATAAGCAGCACCTCTTTATGGTGTCTGATCCAGGTGTCTTCCTAAGTGCCTGCCTGAGCTTCCACTTTCCCTTCCCCAAGGTGCTTCTGGTCAGAGCGTCTCGTTAGAGCCACAGGAAATCAAACCGCAACAGCATCCTTTAGGTCGTCTTGAAGAAGTTGCTTGCTTGTAAGAGGAGGCTGCATGTAGTACCTACACCAGAGCACATAGAAGGCTTATGCAAAGCACTTGGTCGTTAATTAGTCCTGCTGGCATCTGTAAGCGAACCCGTTCAGGTAGAAATAGTATCCCATAGAGAGCTGTTTTCCTATGCCGAGTTGGATCTTTCCAGGTAAAAACCGAGTTAGTTGCTCGGGCCTGCGGTGCTGTTCAAAATGGTTGAGGAAACTTGATAGAAATACCATTCGAGAGGGAGTTGGTCAGGGCTTCTAGTTTGTTGCTGTGGTATATTTATGGCGAGAAAGAAAAGATATATATGAGCCCTCTGCTGTTTGTCTTGAGTGATGGACAAGTGACGTGTTATCTGTGTGGTTGGCAGAGGTCAGCGCAGCGTGCCTCTGTGTGCGCATCTGCCTGTCTCCTACTTCCTTTATGGTTTTGGTGGTGCCTGGGAACTCGGTGTGGAATAAAGATGCCTCGGTTTCCTTGGATAAAAATGCAAAGGGGAGAAATGGTGTATCATATTTCTCCATGGCAACCCTACTGAGCCCGGCTTAGGTCTTACTGCATCCCACCATGGGGTCAACAGCCAGATTGATTTCTGGGTATGTGACAATAGGGTGGACATCACAGTTGATCACGTTATAGGAAAAAGGTGGTTTACTGTGAACTTGTAAGTATTTCTTTTAGGGATTTGCCATGTGCTGTGACCTTCAAAATACCATTTTTTTTAAACTCAGCATCTTGATGTCTTGAAAATCCTTGATGTTACATGTATCAATATCAAAATATAGCAACCATAATTTTTTTTTTCTCCTTTTGAACTGACTTCCATGCCCTTCCCTTCTGGGAACTGGAAATTCCAGTGGTCGTGGAATAAAACTTTTCTGTCACCCAGTTATTGTCTATGCTGCTCTGCCCTTGAGAACCATTTATATTGTTTAAGTGCAAAGATGTGCTTATCCTTGGCTACTTATATTTTTGTGCCTATTAATTCTTTTTTTTCCAGCTTAGCCTGAGGGGCCTTCATTGCCACATAGCAGTTATTATAGAATTCACCAACTTCTAAACATTTTAAATGATCAGATAATTTTGGAAACTTTTCTTGAGTAGCATTCTGCTAAATATTCTGGGCAAACATTTTGGCTCTTCTTAGTTTGTTAATGCTGGTTACATCATGGAAGCTATAGATTTCTTGGGCGTACAAAATGATTGCATATTCATGAACATCTTCAATCCTGAAATATTTGTAAATAACTTGGCAATTTTCTTCATAAAGTTTCCTTTTAAAGTGATCAGGACTTTAATCCTTCACACAGAGTTTGTGTTTGCAAAGGACAACCTATCCCATTGAAACAATGTTTCAGTGCTGAGCAACTTAGGTTACGGACATAGGAGTCACCTTTCTTAAACAGAGTCTAAGAGTGGCAACTTCCCCCTGAAGAAGGATTCAAATGTCAATAGATGCAAAAAGCCACCCTAGAGCTTTGCTCTCTCCAAAGAACGTAGAGAAGGAATGACACAGGCAATGTTAACTGTCACCAGATGAAGAGAAATCAGATTGTCAGGCCTGGATCTATGAAATTCCTGCCAAAGTAGGACCTCATTTACACATAGAGATCTTCATACCCTTTACTAAGAAAAGCATCTGCGGCAGTTTGGATGTTTGTGCCTTTGCCAAAGATCTTTCACTCTGAATAAAGTAAATGTCATGTCTGTTGTTTATCTCAAATTCAGCCGAACATTTTTTTAAAGGGAAATATTTGTGGGGGAGGGCCGAGGGAGGAGGAGTTGGCAGAGGGAGGAAGTGGGCGTGGCCATTTCGCAGACACAGTCAAGGATCAGCCTGGATCTCTGTAAACAAATCTAAAACAGGCATTAGGCTCCTTGAGCTGGAAATGTCCCTTTGGAGTGGCAACGCTACAATAAACTGGCGTGTGTAGCGTCTTCCTGAATCTACACCTAGGCTGTCAACACCAAAAAAAAAAAAAAAAAGTCCGTTAATTCCATCAGATTGATTCTTTGGCACCGTATAGACACAGCTGTCTTGAACTAAGATTCTGAACACTTAACCGTGGAAGGCTTTGCACAGCTGGCATGGGGTGTCTGTCCAGTGTAAAAGACCATGTACATCCAAGCCCTAGCCACTGAATAATAATTAAAGTTTAAAAACCTAGGAAGTGCCAAACATCTTGGCAAATGGGTACGCTTGGTAAAAGCAGACTTTTCGGGTAGAGTATAATGTATTTCCTTTACTGCGTAAATTCTCTTCAAAGTGAAAGCAGAGGTGTGTGTGTGTGTGTGTGTGTGTGTGTGTGTGTTTGAAATACCTTATTTAGCCTGGCTTAAGAGCAACTCACAATCCTAATGAGATCTTGATGTAAAATGAAGTCCCAGACCTTTCTTCAGAAATTTCTTTCAGTTGATAGAATTTTATCATTTTCGTCAAATGTTTTTCCTGTGTAGGATTTGCTTTTCCCGTGCCGTTGGTTTTATGAACATATTCTGTGTGACCTGAGTCTGATTTTCTTCCTGCAGACGACATGGAAGCCATTCCCGTCAAACAGTTTGTTAAACACATCGGCGAGCTCTATTCTAATAGCCAGCATGGCTTCTCAGAAGATTTTGAGGTATGTTTCAAGACTGGAAACTAATTTTGAGAAAGTTTATTTTTATCTCATAAGGATTTTTGACAGTGGGAAGTGCATTTATTCTAAACCTATCAGAACAATAACTCTGCCAGCCAGAGATGTCTTTCTCTTCTCATTGATGGTTTTCATCAATGTTTTCCGAGCCAGATGTAGAAAGAGGGAGTTCGTTTCACCTGTCTGGCCCCCTGCTCATCTGTGGAAGACAGGACATAGAGGTTAACAAGAGGACAATTACTGGGGATAGGTTTTTCTAGTTCTTCGTCTTAATCCTAGGATGAAGTCACACTGCCTAGTCACACGGTGCCACTGCCGAGCTCCCTGATTCTGTGTCATTTCTGGGCTGTGCACGGTATGGTAGAGACAGGAGGTTTGGCACCAGAGAAAGCGCTGGCTCTGCCAGAAGTGAGTTTCATAAGGCTCCATCTCTGCTCCCCAGTTTCCTCATCCTTAAAAAGATGGTGCTAATGTCACCTGCATTCTAAAGTTGTTAGGCTAAAATAAATAAATAAATAAACCTCCATGGCGTGCTGGGTTAATTATTAATTGACTGTTGTTGTTTCCGTGTGTATTAATTCTTGGAGAGAAGACGGGAGTTAGCACAGCCTCGTGATTTTTAAGAGCTGGTGTGTAGGAAACAAGGTAGAGAACTGGCAGGTCCCCCTCTGCCAGCTCTGGGTTCCGTGCCAGTTCAGCAGTGACAGGGTGTCAATGAGGAGCCATTAAACAGACTGCCCTTTTCTTTACTGAGGCGCATCCCTGGCAGCAGGGGCTGTGTGGAGCAGGGCATGCTTGCATGGCAGCTCAGCTGTCTTCGAGCTGCAGGGGCGAATGGGTTTCTTCCTCTTTCCCTTCCTAGTGGGTAATGGGAATGATGGCAAAGAGCCTTTCTTGCCTGCCTCTTGACACAGTTGGTTCTGGGGCTCAAATACAAACGGGAAGGAAGCACTCGGGGACCATCGTGGACACACACTGCTCTGAGGTGCAATTATCTCATGTGAACAACGAGAAAAAGTGGGGGCAGAACCCCTGTCTCTATGCAAATTTGGAATTCCCAAAGGTCACCAGAAAGGCAATTATATTGACATCTCAAGTTAAATCTTTCTCTGAGGTTGCTATTGTTGTGAGTTTTGCATTGTTTTTGTTTCGTTTGTGTTTTGACTTGGTCTGCGTTTAGGTTTTTATTGAGAAAAAAAAAATGATGGGAAAGGTGGTAGAGAGAAGACTGAACAAAAGCTCGTCAAGTATTTAATGCTGCTATTGTATGCTGGTCCAGAAAGGTGCTTAGTCCACGACAAAGAACATGGCTTAAGTCAAACATTTTGTATTCATGAGGACAGCAAATGTGTGTGGCGTTAAAGTGATTTAGCTCAATTGACTGTTGACTGGATGACCGAGCAAGAATATTGAGGCATTTAACCATGTTGATGGTATTCAGGACAAACATTTATCCTCTGGAGGACAGAATTTGATCAGGATGATCAAATGCAACTCTGCTTTCTCAATTATTTATGATTTGAGACCCCAACGCTATTCATCACAGCTGGTTTTGACACCATTTAATTATTCAGAATAATCAGCTACACCTCTGTATACTTGATCTGACTTAGAGATGGGCTTTGCTGTATCAAAATCACGCCCGTGAACAAATCCTGGCATTTATTTGTATCCTGTGTCTATACTAAAAATATTGATACTGTGAGCTAACAGTTTAATCACCTCTACTGATCTTGACAGCTTCAGTACCAGGAGCTGGTTGTTCACGGGAGGGGACGGGGAACCTAAGTAGAAGCAGCCACTGTGATTCTGTTACCATCTCCTGGCTCCTCCTGGGGAGAACTGAAAACTGGAGTTGCTTCAAATCAGAATCCTGAAAAAAAAAAAATAGTAAAGCAGCAACATAAAGGGGAGAATGAGACAGACTAGGAGTTCACCAGTATACCACAACCTTTAAAACTCAGCAAAACTTTGAAGCGTTTTTAAACAAAAGCATCGTTCCTTTTTGGTAATCTTGCTAAACAAGGAAAGATAGCAACAAGCCGTGTGAGGAAGTAAGCAGAGGTAGTAGCTGACTGTGTAAGGGCAGGAAATGAGATTTTATGTAGTACAAAGAACAATGAAATATTTAAAATAAACCATCTATTGTGGCCAGAGAGTCGTAAGCTCCTGCACGGATTTCCATCACTTGTGTGCAGTAACCAGGGCCCACAGTTAGCTCCGCGCATTACTTCCCTCCTTTACTTTATCTCGGCTCCCACTGACCTCACTTTAAAGTTGGGGAAACATCACCCATAGGCAAAGCAAGATTAGGTGGTCAGGTTTTGAAACGGTGGCAGCCGGGGTTGAGACCAGCACTGTCAAACCCCAAGCCCTGTGGTTAACCCCAGTGCCTTCCAGACTCATAGAAGTAATGTCTTATAATGAGCTGGAGTCAAGAGAAATAAACAAGCTTGCCCTTGACTCTCGTGCACCTGTATCTTGGCAAAAAAAAACAAAACAAAACAACAAAAAAAAAAACCAGGGTGTTAGGGTACCCTCTCCTACATGTATTAGGTGAGGAATGCATAGTCTTTCTACTCTACAGCCATTTTAGCCCCAGTGTGGCTTACAGAAATCTTACTCAACATCTGAACCTTAGAAGCCTCAAGTTAATCAAATCACTGGTCTTCTGGAGAGTACCGTTCAAGCTCATAGTTAGTCGGGCAAGGTAAAACAGCTGAGTATCAACTGTTCCCTCTCCGTACAAAGATTAATTAGAATCCCTTATCAAAAGAGCTCAGTCTGGTGGTGCTGGGAGGAGACCAGAGTAGAAATGAAAAAGGAAATAAGGTAAAACAGAAACGGAGCTCCCCCACAGTGTGCGTGTTGACTGGGTGCCCCAGTGAAGGTGATTCTCCTTGTGGCACCGTTTGATTTTTCAGCCTTGGGCAAAAAAAAAAAAAAAAAAAAAAGAGCGAGCAACTGTCATATTTTAATAATGATGTTGCTTAAGCGGGGAATGGGAGAGCAGCCTAAGTAACTTTGAGTCTTTGTCTTGAGGTGATGTCGGAAAACAGTGCTGTCGGTTAAATGGTGAGCGGCCGGTAGACTGGTGGCATTATGCCTCTCCAAGATTCTGCAGCCAGTGGCAGTCTTACTGCTTCTTGTTTGAGGCTAACGTTTCCTGGTTCCATTCTCCTGGCTGCCTGAACTGGCCATGACTAGTTCCCTGGGCTTCCTGGACAGTGGCATCCCAGAGTGGCTTGATTATTAAATATTAAATATTGCTTTCCCTGCCCCCGTAATCTTAGGAGGCGCAGAAGTACAGTCCGGCACATTCATGAGAAGGCTGCAGAGGTCCGCGGACTAGGTCTTGGGGGTTGGAGGAATTGGAAGTTTAAAGGCTGGGCACAGAGATGAAGCCAGAGGTCCATGGCCCTTAACACAGTCCTCTGGGGGATGACCTCTCCTCCAATTAACTACTGGGCTAAATGGGCACTCGTTGTTCATCTTAAATCAGGAGCATAAGGCTCTGTCCACCTGAGCCCATGCGCTGAGGGACTAGTGGCCCCATTCTTTTGTGTCATGAACTGAGACATCGGTGGCTGCTGATAACAGGACGCAGGGACGTCCCTGGAAGGAGATGCAACGCTACACAAAGACGACTGGAGAATGGCAGAAACTGTCCCTGAAGAGCTGAGCATATGGCAGACCGTGCATTTGGTCTGAATATTAGAGAAATGTGCTTTAAATCCCTATTACCACGAAAAATTCCTATTTAAGTAGGGACTTTTATAAAGAAGATGGGATAATTTCATAAACTTCTGCCTGCAAAAGAATTTTCTGTGGGGCGGTGGAAAAGGGCAACCCCTGGGAGCAGAGACCAGGGATTTGGATTGTGGGAGGGGAGAGATAAATGGCAGCCATGCCTAGGACAGGAAAACATGCCACCTTTCTAAAAGATGTGGGTTTAAGGCTAAGGTTAGAACATGAAGTGGTAGAAGATAATACCCTCCCTGAAAGGTTGGCAGAGTAATTTGGAACCCACCAAAAACTCCCTGCCTAATAGAGTCATGCCCAGGACACAGCATTGCAAAAAGTCAGGTGTGATGGCCAAGTCCAAGATGGTGGAAGTGGAAAGGCACAGAGGTCCTCATCTCTTGAGGACCAGCTCTCTCTTGGACACTGGACCAGCTCTGGACTAGTCATGACCGATGCATTTCATTGTCTGTAGATTAGCCCCTTAACACACCAGGTCCAAAATACTTTCCCCCAGGGCTCTTTGTTGGGTAATCTGATAGATGTGTACGCAGTGTTTGTTGGAGTGGTGTCTCAGAAAGGTAGGCTAGCAGGCCATCCCATGCTCTCCCGATGGCCTCCTCCCTCCACATCTCCAAATCAGGAGATTCAGCCGATTGCATCCCCCAAGAATTCTAGTGATAGCAAAATGCTAGGATTTTCATGTTTTGTTTTTAACGAATTTTTTTTTCTTTTAAGCCTCTTGTCTTCTCTTGGCCCTCCCCTGCGAGTTACGTATCTGTCAGTATCCAGATATCTACTTTTAGAATTCTAGGTTAATATAGGCAGTAAAATACAAGCAAGCTTCATCTTAAACCTCTCATTAAAGCGTGAAATAGATAAGTTTCCCATGTGCACTTCACTGGCTAGGGTCACTTTAAAAAGTTTTAACGCCTATTAAAGTCACGTTAACTTTGCGATGCCAGTCTGGTAGAGCAAAGGATCATTCCAGGATCAGATGGTATATCAGCTCTTGAATGAGCCAAGTCATACTGCAGGAATTTACAGGTGACGTTATTATCCTCAAGACCAAATCTGAAGGCTGTAGCCAGACCCCATGAGTGCTAAGAAAGTCAGATCTAATATTACTTACGTTCTTCCCTTGTTTTATGCCATTCGTTGGAAGCATGAATGGAGGCCACACATCTGGCCAGGGGTTTTAGATACCAAAAGAATCTGACTGGCTGCCTTGAGAGACTGCTTTATAGAAGCAGCCCTGGTCCATTGCGTTATATTCTATCTGAGTGTCAGCCCCAGTCCGTAGCTAGGGTAGTCCGATCCATATAGTACGAGAGAGAAAAGAATTAATAGACAAAATGAATCTCCGACTAAAGAACTAAGGCTAAAATATCTTAATATAAGCTCTCCAATCACCTCAGTCTTAAAGGGGTACCTGCCCAAAAGGCTGGCTTTTACCCAGCAGTGGAGTATTGACTTGTGCCTGGCATTTGTGTATACAGTGAATTGGTGCTATTCAGGATACAAATCCATTTGTGAAGTGTTTTGCCTTAAACTGACCTCATGCTTTTAAGGCAATTCCAAAAGGCAGGTCCCCATAACCCAACTATAATCAACATCACCATCTTCTTTGTACTCATACTTTTTCTTTTTCCATTTTGGAGAAAAGAGCCAAAAGGTTTCAGGCCCTTTAAACCACTGTTTGCAAAACTGAGTCATAAAACTAGAACAGGAGAGAGCAGAATTTATCCCACTTCGTAGGGTAGGAAACAGGTGAGAATCACCATTGCACGCTTTCCCCGGAAGATGTGGACCAGCTTGACACCTCCGGGGTCTTGTCTTCCGGGACAGCTGGGAAGACCTTCAGTTACAAAAAGTTAAATACGAGCTTCCAGGCATTGGAAACTCAATAATCTGAACAGATCATGACCATTCATTTTTATACCTTAGGTTATTTGACTGCAGAGTTCCTCTTCGTGGAGAGGGGACTGCTCGCTAGGAAGTACTTTGAGGTTTTATGAGACAGTCTGCCCCCTGTATTCACTACATCACTGCCCTTGATGTAGCTGCTATGGACACATACATAGCTCTTCCGCAGCTGCCTTGGGAAGCACAATAATCTGCGTGTGTACAACATCCCCTGGCACTTTTGTGACCTTGCGCCTGCTCTTAGTAGCAGCTACGCACTGCTAATGGCTTCCTTAACTAGTTGGCTCCAGTATTTCTTCGTGTGTGAAGCATCCAGGGTAGAAGAACCCGGCTTTTTCAGCAGCCTCATATTGAGCTAAGAGATGAGGCTTTTATCCGGGGCTGAGGCGGTAGTGCAGAGCTGCCTCTGCTGCTGCTGTGTCTCTAGTGCAAGTTCAGTTGACCAAATCCGGAGCCAACACTTCATCAGGACAAACGATGTCTGAGCCAGTCAAGATAATTGGTCGGCCGAGCATGACTGTCCTGTCAAATAGACATTTCAGCATGGAGGGTTCTAACTATGAAATGAGGCCATGCGGCCTCCAAGCACATTGCAAATCCTGGTGCTTTTGTCCTTCTTGGAAATTCCTGTGCTTCCTTTAAGACTCAAGTGAATTGCCATGTCCTATTTTAAGCCTCCCTCAGTTCCTCTATTTTTGTTCCCATAATTTTTTTTTCAGGCCTCTTCTGTGTTGATCACATTTGGCTAACAATCTCTTTTTTTTTCTCTTATAGACTGTGACTTATTTAGAAAGAGATATTCTTTTGTATCTCAGCACTCCAAAATTGATACCGTTTTGTACCATCCCAACTCCAGGTACAAACCGGAATAAAGTAGATGAGCGATGAGCTAGTAAGGAACGAGACCATCCCTAATTCACACTGTTCCTGTGTTTGTGATCGTTACAGCAATTCTCAGATCTGAATGAGTTCGAGGAAGCAGTGGCACTGTAGGGACTGGGCCGATAGCTATATCTGTGTGAGTATAGAGGAAGGGAGGAGTCGCACCACATAAGATGAGGTCAGATAATAAGAAGTGTGCCACATTGGGTGGTGTCGTCATAATACAAGCACCATAAAGTGTATTTAGACAAACCTAGACAGCGTGGGCCTGTCACTCAACACGGCCTAGCGGTGCCATCAAGATACATGGGAAGCATCAGTATTGAGGCCGTGTCCAGTGTAAAAGGTCACAGTGCTTTGCAGAATGAAGCGCAGGGACACCGTAAAATGACAACGTTAAACTTTGTCCCATGTAATGTGCTGTCCTGGATCTGACTGGCTCGCTCTCGGTCTGTTTCTTCACCATGTTTCAGCAGAGTAGTATGTGCTACAGTGTCTCATAGCTTCCCTGTCACTAGGCCGAAAGAATTCAGCTACAGCGTGCAGCATATACATACATAGCCTATGCTGACAGAACGCTGCGGGATACGTGGCGGCAGCTCCACTTGGTTTCCAGCGTGTCTAAAACCTTGTCGTTCTTCTCCTTTAGGAAGTCCAGCGCTGTACAGCTGAGATGAACATCACTGCAGAACATTCCAATCACCCAGACAACAAGCACAAAAACAGATATATCAACATTTTAGCATGTGAGTAATTGAAACGATCTTCAGCGGTGGGAGAATTCAGTCTTCGCGCCGCAGGAAAAGCCAGAGAGTCAGAATTGCACCACCCAGAGAGGCTGGTGTTTGAAAGCCAGTCTCTCACGAGGTAGATGCAGCGTGGGCCGTCAGAGCTCCGAGAGAGCCATAAGCTAACCAAAAGAAATTCTTCCGAGCTTTTGTATTTTCACGTGAGCTGAGGTCATGTCAAGTCTTGGCAGACAAAGCATGAATATCATGGGGCTATCCTGACTTTGTTTTTAACCAGTGGGAGGCGGGTCTTTTTAATACAGATTTGGAGAACTGAATCGAATAAGCCCAACTTCAGAACGGGTTAAAGTTAGAGCTACAGGGGAATAGGATTTGAACATGGAGGGACCAATTTCATTACCTTCTGGAATAAGAACCACATTGTACAGACTTTTAATTGGACCGCTTAAAGTTTGAACACTGCTATGGATAGTTTTTGAATAAAATGTTGAGATTGTCTACACGCCATTGGGACTGTCCTTTCACAGGTGTTGGAACCACAGTCTAATATTCAAGTATTTCTAGCAACAAGAAACCCCATGGCTGTTAACAGACACCCTTTCCCCCTGAAATCCATTACTACTTTCTAGCTCTCGTTATTTGGATTTTCTGGACAGTCCCTGTGGATGGACTCACATGTGAAACCTGTGTGTCTGGCCTCTCACACTTAGCATCCTTTCAGAGTTCATCCATGTTGCACTGTGTATCAGTGACTCCATTGTTAATACTCCAATTACATGCATATGGGATATCTTGCTAGGTGTTTGGATTTTATCCAACTTGGGTCTCTTAAGAACAATGCTATTAGAGTCGTTCGCAGACAAGGCTTTTCTGTAGATGTTTCCTTCCTTCTTGGGTACATACATAGAAGCAGAGTTGCTGGTTTATGGATGAACCCGTGTTCAACTTTAGAAGAGCTGACTGGCTTTTTCCAGAGTGGCTCTGCTGGGCTTCATTCTCACTGGCAGTGACGTAGAGGTCCAGCGACCTCACGCTTTGACAGAAGCACCCTATTTTGTTTTTGTTTTTTGAGGGAGGTGAGTCTTAGTGATGGTTTGAGGTGGGAACCTCTGGTGCACATTTTTCTCGCGGTTTCCTGAGTGGTCAGTGGGATCAGTACATTGCTTAACGCTCATTGGCCCATCTGTATATCTTCTTTCGGGAAAAAGTCTGTTCTCATCTTTTACTTGTTCGTAGCTAAATTTTATCTCTTTACTGTTGAACTTTTTATACTGTGAGATTCCATATATTTTGCTTATTCTTTGCATTTGCATTATCTTTTCCCATTTTTTGTATTGTTTTGATTTTTCGAGGCAGGGCTTTTCTGTGTAGCCCTGGCTGTCCTGGAACTAGCTTTTGTAAACCAGGCTGGCCTTAAACTCACAGAGTTTCAAATGCCTCTGACTCCTGAGTGTACTGCTACCACCCAGACTATCTTTATTACTTGTGCTCTCTAAAATCTTCAAAAGTCCATCTTCCAAACTTTGTCAATATCCAATTTAACCTGGTAGTGGTGGTAATGGTTTTAGAATCATATTAGGAAAGAAAACCATGCCAAGTTTACTGCTGTGTTCTCATCTTGAAATTATCATGGTTTCAGCACTCTGGTTTAGGTCTTTGATCCATTTTGATCGTGTGGTTTTATGTGTTCTGAGGTAAGAGCTATTCTTCGTTTTGTTGCATATGGGTATCTACTTGTCTGTGGTTTAAGATTTAGGGCTTTCTCCTCAATGAATTGGCTCAGCTCTCTTACGGACAGTTAGCTTACTGTAAGGTAATGAGTTGCTTCTGGCCGCTGGATTCTATTCCTGGTGCTGTCCGCGTTCATCCTCCTGCCAGCTCTGCACTGCCGTAATTATGGACAACTTGGTGGCAAAGTTAGAAATTGGAAACTCAGATTCCCCTGTTCAGGCTGTCTCAGTCCCTTGTATTTTCATATGAATTTTAGCACTAAACTCGTACTTCCTGATTCTGATGGAGATTGAACTGAGTGTGGGATGGATTTGAGAACCATTGCCATTTCAGTATTGCCTTGGGGCCTTCGTGAAGGTGGATGGTTTTCACTTAGGCCTCCCTATTTCTTTCAACTGTGGTTTACACTCTCATTGCACAAGCTTTGGCTTCCTCTGTGAAGTTTACTCCTGCTTTGTTGTTTTGAGGTTTTCTTTTTTGCTTTTGGAGATTTTTTTTTCTTTACTAAAGATTTCTGACTCTTCCCCACCACTGCCTCCTATTTCCCTCCCCCTCCCCCAACCAAGTCCCCCTCCTTAGTTATTTATATGAGCCTGTGTGGATGTCTGCACCATGTGCATGCAGTGCTCACAGAGGCCAGAAGAGGGCATCAGATTCCCCTGGAACTGAAGTCACAGACAGCACCCTTGTAGGTACTTGGGTTGACACTCCAGTCCTCTCTATGAGAGCAAGAAGTGTGCTCAACCACTGAGCCATCTCTTGGTCCACCACATTTTATTCTTTTTGATGCTTGTTGCAAATGAAAATGCTTGGTGTAAAGACATACAGTTGATGTTTGTATATTGATTGTGTTTCATGAAGCCCTGTTAGACCCCGTCATTCTAAAAGATCATTTGGGGGAAACCCCTCTGAGTTTATATATATTGAGTCATATTGTTTATGAATAGAGATAGTTTTATTTGTCCTAATTTATAAAAGAACAAGTTATTCTTGAGTAGAACTATTGGTCTCATCTATGTGAATGAGTAAAGAGGAGGGAAAAAGTGCAAAAAAAAAGTTTTCTTTCTCTTCTCATCTCTGTATGAATCAACTTTTAACAGAATTTTTGGCTGACCCATTCATGGTGGCTCAGAACTGAACCTTTGTTTATAGACATACCGATTTTTAAGAGTCGGGCAAGGGCACACATAATGTCATCCTTAACACGCAGCAGTCAGAAAGTAGGTGACAGACTACGAGAGAAAACCAGTGCAGCATTTGTATGACACACACAGGAATTGTGTTGTTTGTCTACACAGAGTCCGTTTGTGTAGCCCTGGCTGGCTTAGAACTTGCTGTGTAGATCAGGCTGTTCTCAAACTCACAAAGATCCACCTGCTTCTGCCTCCTGAGTGCCACCATGCCCAACTGAAAGTTTTTTGCTGGAAGACCATCATCTCTGCTGTACAAGTTCAGAGAGTTGGGTTTTTATCTTCTAGCCACTCATATTCTGTGCATACTGCCTGCCACATTCATCTACCCCTTTGCTCATGACTTTATATAGCAAAGGACACCAAAGAACTGTCACAGAAACAAGTAGGATCAGGTCCTGAATGTGCCAGATTCACAATATAGGATAAGCTCTGGTTCGTTCCCTTCATTTGGTCCTGGGGAGTTGCCTCGACTTCAACCTCACAGACCAGTGAAATACCCTACAGACTTTATCAACTTCATCAAAAGTCACTTCATAAAAACATTGTTTAAACTTTTTTCATACAACATATTTTGATCATACTTTTTTTCTCCTCTAACTTTTCCCAACATCCTTATCCACACAGCCTCATGAGTTCTTGTGTCTTGTGTTCTTGTGCACTCGCTCGCTCTCTCTTTCTCTCTCTCTCTCTCTAAATTTATAGTACTAGGAAGAGGATGAAAGAATGGATAATCAAAAGCCCGTGAATTTTCTTTTGAAATAGAAAAATGAAATTTTGGCATATTGTGCAATTTCTAGCAGTTTCATGAAAACTAGTAAAGACTGTTATTTATGCTCCTCGGGCCCTCTCTGGGGCAGCTGCGCCCGTGCAGTGTTGGGATGGCATTGAAGCTCTACTCAGTAGCTGTTCGTCGCAGCACCTGGTTGCCATGTGTGTGTTAAGGATGCTGCCGGTTGTTGCTGTTCTAATTCTACATTTTGTTTTTGTCTTTTATTCTCTGTAGATGATCACAGCAGGGTGAAGTTAAGACCTTTACCAGGAAAAGACTCTAAGCACAGCGACTACATCAACGCAAATTATGTCGATGTAAGTCAGAAAAGCTCTTACGCCTGTTTTAGAGAATGGAAGTCTGTGGCGGAGGTGGGTGGGTGTATTGCACCACTACACGGAAATGTCACTCCAAACATGGCCTGTGCCACTTAGAAGGTACTTCAATTATTAACTGGTCTTCCGTGATACCACTTTCATCTCACTTTGTGCCGTGTCATCTTTGAAGGGTTACAACAAAGCAAAAGCCTACATTGCCACCCAGGGACCTCTAAAGTCTACATTCGAAGATTTCTGGAGGATGATCTGGGAACAAAATACGGGAATCATCATCATGATTACAAACCTTGTGGAAAAAGGAAGGGTAAGAGCCTCTTACTCTCTTTGGATTTTGTGAATGAAAGTGAATTAAACACCTGCTGTGGGAAGGAAACTACACAGTGTAGAGAATAGACCTGCTCTCTCTGCACATGGGCTTGCTCATGTTCTCTGCAAGAGCTAAGGCATCACGAGTGCAAATTAATATGAAACATAGGCATGTTGTAGGGCCACACTGATGACGTAAGCATGTTGTAGGGCCACACTGATGACGTAGGCATGTTGTAGGGCTTCACTGATGATGTAGGCATGTTGTAGGGCTACACTGATAACACAGACGTATTGTAGGGCTACACTGATGATGTAGGCATGCTGTAGGGCTATGCAGGCATGTTTTAGTGGTGCAGTGACAAATGAGTGCATCCTATAGTGTGGAAATTTTATAGAAGCCCCTATTTGAGATGAGAAACAGGTTAGCAAGAGAAAGAATGTACAGAATAAAAGATAGCAGAAACCAGGGATGTTGGGAAATGCTTGGTGTGAGAAAGACACTCAGGAAAACAGAGGCTAACGTGATGACCATCATGAAAAGTGTAGTTGAATGCGCTGTATTCTTAGTTTGTGGAGATGGTGCTGATCGGGTGTCTCAGGACCCTTGACTATGCAGTCCCGGTTTTACTGATGACCCAGTCTTGTAACAGATTACCAACCTGGCTTTTGTAAACCAAGCCCAGATGGCACTTAAAACTATTGTGTATCACAGTCTACTCATATTTTGTACAAGGTTCCCTCTTAATATCTCTCTCTCTCTCTCTCTCTCTCTCTCTCTCTCTCTCTCTCTCTCTCTCTTTCTCTCTGTCTCTCCTCTCTCCTCTCTCTCGTGTGTTGATCATATTTACTGGCCCATTTCTCAGATAATGTTGCACAAACTTATCCCAAGTCATGAACTTCTTCAGAGGTCACACTAACCTTTAAGCATTTCGGCCTATACTTTTCTTTTTTAGTTAAAAAAAAAATCTTGAATATTATTATCTGTGTCTTAATACCGTTGTTTGAAAACCCTCCCTTTTTCCTTTTCGCAGAGAAAGTGTGATCAGTATTGGCCGATGGAGAATAGCGAGGAGTATGGCAACATCATTGTCACCCTGAAGAGCACAAAAGTACACGCCTGCTATACTGTCCGGCGTTTTTCAGTCAGAAACGCAAAAGTGAAAAAGGTGTGTGCACATTGGGCGAGCTGTCTGGGGACGCCTGCACACCGAGGGCGATCCAAGCTTTTAGGGCATTTTCCACAGCTTTTTCTTTCTCTTTCTTTCTTTCTTTCTTTCTTTCTTTCTTTCTTTCTTTCTTTTTCTTTCTTTCTTCCTTCCTTCCTTCCTTTTTCTTTCTTTCTTCCTTTCTTCCTCTTTCTTCCTTCCTCTTTCTTTCTCTCTCTCTCTCTCTCTCTCTCTCTCTCTCTCTCTCTCTCTCTTTCTTTCGTTCTTTCTTTCTTTCTTTCTTGCAGGGTCTCAAAAATAAATAGAGCTCAGCCTGGCCTCAAAGTGGCTGTCTAACTGAGCTCCTCAAGTGAGTCCTCCCATCTACACCTCTGAGCACTGGATTCCAAGCTTCCACTACACTACTAGGTTTACCTAGTGCTAGGGATGCGACCCAGGGCTCTACCCACCGAGTTCTGTGGCCCTGTACCTCTCTGCCCAATGTCTGTGTGTCACGTGAAAGGTGTTGGCAAAGTGCATGAGACTCGTTAGGGGCTCTGGCTGGCTCCTCTGTCTTCACAAACCTGGCTTTGTGTCGTCGGAAGTCGAGAATACAGCACGTCCCATGGTACCTGTCCCTTGGTTGCTGTTTCCTGACAACTTCACTGCAGGGTTTCCCAAAGTGTATCCCAAGGAATTCTAGTCCTGCAAAACGGGTATTTAAAACTCATCTTCCGCTGTTCATGAAGAATGGAAAGAGGCTGCTACATCATATGTACCCGCTTTTAGGAAGGGACAATGAACACAAGTGACCGTCATGTTTGAGTCCGTGTTTGGTCATGTGACTTACCCGTACCATCTTTTTCTATGAACTCGTAGTATTCCAAGAATCACGAAGCGGAAATACTGCTTTCAAGTTATCTCAGTTTCTTTCCCCCACAAATCCCCTGTCACAACAAGAGTCGCCACAGCAATATTTTGGAATCTAAATAGCAGCTCGGTGAGAAAGTACAGTCGCGACACAGTCTTGAGTCTGACAGTTGTCTGAAGCAGTGCCGTTTGATTTCTGTTGGCATCTCAGAGAATGTAGTCCTAAGAAAACCCACATTTAGGCAGCTCTAAAGCCCACCGATAGCCCGGGGTTAGCAGCCCTTCCTCAGTGGGGCTATGATTAGCGCTAGGCACTGTTTTAAATCTGCAGCAGTGCGTGGTCTTTATGTTGAGCTTCTGGGTGATTCAAGCCAATCAATAATCATTCTAAAATTTAGAGAGATCCTAGGTGTCCATCACGTACTTACACAGGTCCAGTTACCCTGCTTTGATAATAGCTTAAGTGAGAGAAAGCAGTAGGAACTGGGGGTGATCTGTGTTTGACCAGTGCCTAGCAGGTCATCCACTTGGACTGGTGAGATTGGAAAAAGTTGGCTCCTATACCCACTCAGTAGAAGTCACCTGTGAGAGTGACAGAGAAGCGAGGCTGGACCCCAGGATCTAGAGTGCCAGGTTCTATCCACGTTTCTGGCTTTCCCTTGATTCTTGGAGAGTGGGTGGCAGTAAGGAACCCTGGCTCGGGGTATCCAGACTGAGTATAAGGAAGAAATGGGAGGTAGCAAGTTGGGAAAAGCAGGCTTTGTGGGAGAGTTCAAAGTGCTCTATATTGTCTAAGTCCAAAAGCCTGGTGTTGTTCAAGGTTCATTCTTGGAGCAATTTTACACTTCTCTTCTGAGCGCTGTAGATGTGGCCATGCAACATGGAAGTCGATCACAAACAGGAAATAATTTGAGAACTGAGATCCAAGGTCATGTTTCCTGACAACTTTGTACTATTCTCATCCAGGAGCTAACCCTCAAGCTTCAAGGTGTCTTTTATACTTCCCTCCAGGGCCAGAAGGGGAACCCCAAGGGTCGTCAGAACGAGAGGACAGTGATTCAGTACCACTACACACAGTGGCCTGACATGGGAGTCCCTGAGTACACCCTCCCAGTCCTGACCTTTGTGCGGAGATCATCAGCGGCGCGGGTACCAGACATGGGCCCCGTGCTGGTGCACTGCAGGTAGGGCCAGCATGGAGAGATGAAGCTGGGGGTGTGGGCCAATGCTGGTGCATTGCAGGTAGGGCCAGCGGGCAGAGTGGGGATGTGGGCCACGTGCTGGTGCAGTGCAGACAGGGCCAGTGTGCAGGGTGAGATGAAGCTGGGGATTGGAGCCCTGTGAATTCCACCTGTGCTCAAACAAAGCATAGAGAGAGTTCCTGTGGCCCATGTCCTCTATGAACACGGCAGTGGGAAAGCGTGGTGCAATTATATAATTTCGTCACATGGAAGCATCATCCGAAAAAGAAGTCAAAAAAAGAGCTGTGTAGCTCCGAGGAAAAACTGATTTAATATCTAGTTTTTCTGAAATGTTCTTGGTAAGCTCCTACAACTGTAGGGAAACTGTCGGCTCCACCTAAGAAGATTGGAATATAAATGTATTTAGGACATGGATAAAAGGTTTTTTCCGTTTTCTAACTTATATGTGCTACATAAACGACCTCTTACAAAAATGCTTGAAAAAGTTCATATTTTCTCTAAACAAAACTCTTAAAAAAAATTGTCTTCTCTCAGAACAAGCTAGAATTTTCTCTGAACAAAAACTCTTGAAAAAAATTGTGTTTTCTCTGAACAAACTAAAACAACTTTGGATGGTTGTTTAGATGTCTTCACTGCCTGTTTCGTGTGTTCATGAAAGTGCAGCCATGGCCTCCTCTATTTTAGTGTTCAAGTTACTTATTCTGTGGCTAACACTGCATAGCTCCACAGCGTTTGCTAAGCATTTCTGTGGGGCTGTTCTTATAATATGCTTTAACAAAACAAGACATTTGCAGGAACTGAGACACATCCCGCGTTTAAAGCCTTATGAGAACGCTACCTTTTTGCTAACCCATTTTGCAACTACCAATGAAAAACAGTCTGCCAAACTGCCTGGGTATTGTGCTCGATGAGGAACCTCCTGGAGGCATCCTCCCAAAACAAGCTTGCCATTCGGTACTACAGATTCCAGAGCTTCTTGGCTATCTTGTAAAATAGGAATTAGGAAAAATAACTACAGGAAGCCAAATTTTCTGGGGATAGCATTCTCCTTTACTAAAAGGTAAATACCCCCATCATAGGATTTTCTACCACTGATACTAGTTGCATGAAGCAGAGGCAGGCAGAGAAGGTTGTATGGAAAAGGGATTTTAGTCAAAGGGTAAGTTTCCAGGTTCAGTAAGAGCCATAGGACCTACCTGCCCTGGCCTCAGCTGACTGCTTCGTGGGTGAAGATGGCTGCTATCCGGTGCCTCCAGCTCCATTCCTCCCTTAGACCTGCAGGGAAAGCTGAGGTGGCCCCTGTGTCTCAATTGTCCTCGTAGAGTAAAAGGCATTCTGTGTTCTTCATCGAGGCTAGATGGTGCAAAGTGTTCAGGCGATATCTATATGAATAGAATAGTCTAGGTCATTTCTAGTAAGCCATCAGGAAAACGGGCTATTTCTTAGCGTGGGAGCTTTTACATTTTTTCATCTTTCGGTCAATGGTTGAAAACGCCGACTGAGTGCCTTCATCTCTTCCAGCGCCGGCGTGGGCAGGACAGGCACCTACATTGTCATCGACAGCATGCTGCAGCAGATAAAGGACAAAAGTACCGTCAACGTCCTGGGATTCCTGAAGCACATCAGGACACAGCGTAACTACCTCGTCCAGACGGAGGTAAGGAGTGGCGGTCAGGACGTTCCAGCTCAGGTTAGCGCGAGCTGAAGAGAAAGATGCATTGCCTTAGAACTTGAAGAAATGTGTGAGCTTGTGCTCGAGGTTTCTGGAGATGACGCTCTTTCTGAATCACAGCTTTCCCTCACCGTCTTACTGTCTAGACACCGGGGTCAGCTTCAGTTAGGTCAAGTCATGCTCCCGATCCCAGGGAGTGAAGCTTACTCTCTGGCAAACACGTAGCAAAAGTTGGATCTCGAGCCCTTTAGTGAACATGTGTTTGCAGCTGTGTGCTAATTATCAAACCTCCTGGTCTAGACAGGGTGGAGAAATACAGAGCTAAACTCAACGCAGGTCTCTACTGCAAAGTAAATGACGGCTTATCAGCAAGCGAATATTGGGGTCACCGTCTAGCGACAACAGCAGAGAAATGCACCGTAGGTTCCTGTTCAGGGAAGTGTTGGGCTCAAGTCAACCTTGGGAATGGTAGCTGTCCCCAAGCAGATCCCCTCCGTGACCGCCACATTTCGTCTTTGCAGGAGCAGTACATTTTCATCCATGATGCCTTGTTGGAAGCCATTCTCGGAAAGGAGACGGAAGTGTCTTCAAATCAGCTGCACAGCTACGTGAACAGCATCCTCATTCCGGGAGTAGGAGGGAGGACGCGGCTGGAAAAGCAGTTCAAGGTGGGGCTCTGCACGGTGCCTTCAGTAAAGACAGGGAATCGGTGGAAAATGCCCTGGATTTGGGTTATGTCTTCTTTATATCCAGATAGATGCTGAAATAGATTACTGTTTTCACTCTGTAGCGTAATATAAAAGGAAGTTCCGACTGTGTGTGTGTGTGTTGATGTTCAAGCAGATGTGGCACAGCACTTTATCTTCTCTGAGCTGTTGATGACTTTATCTGAACATAGACACCATCCTCTAGCCCGTTGACCTAAGACTTCCAGTCAGTTTTCTGGCCCCCAAAATACTGTGGGTTTTTTTTTTTCCTGAATACTCAGAAGTATTCAGTAGTACTTTTATTGAGAATGGTTGTGTGAGCCGAGAGTGGTAGCAGATGCCTGTAATCCCAGCACTCAGGCCGAGGCATGAGGATCACAAGTTCAAGATCAGCTGGTACTGTAGAGTGAGAACCTATCAGAAAGAGAAAGTAGAGGGGAGGGGAGTGACTATCTGGGTACATACTGTGATCAAAATAGGCGTCTTTGGAAAATCAGAAGGCCATCAGGAAACTTAAAGGAGTTGCTACATAGTTGAGATAAGCTTCACTCATTGTAATGGAACACAAGGCCCAGTGCTTGTTGAGACTCGTGGGTAGTTTAAAAGGAATGAGACTACCAAAGACATTAACTGTCTCTTTCCAACACGGTCTTCCCATCGCCTGAGTGCTTCCCCCTTTCCTAGCCCCTCCCTGCCTTTCTAGTTTTTGCACAATGTTCTGCACGCAATCTCCTCACTCCATAGCAGAATGGAAGGAATGGCTTCAGTTCAGGTTTTCACGGGAAAAACTTGCCCTAGACTCTGAAACCCTCATTGGAATCTCCGCTGGAGAAATGAGACAGCCAAACAAATTATACGAAGTGGTATATGAAATGAAAACAAATCAATTTTTACTGAGTACAATCACAACACCAATTTCAGATTTCCTGTTCTCCTCTAAACAGCCTAACAACTGTGAAACCACTTGAGGTGATTAGACAGCACAGTGTTCGTTTAAATGTGAAAAGTGGGTATCACAAAACATGGCATACCAAAGTTATTTTAAGTATTTCCCTTTGTTTTTCATTTCTGGTATATTTGACGATTTCAGAGTTTAGGGAAAGTTTGAATGTGAAAACAAAAGGAGGACAAATTCATCTCATTTTGTCTGTCTCGACACAAATGAAAGCCTATTTACATAAGGGCCAGAAAATAGACTCAGAGAATAATAAACATCCCTACATTAAGAATCTAAACTCCAAAATGCTTCCGAATCTAAACCTTTGTGATTGCCTCCATGACGTCAGAAAGGGAAGTTCCATACCATGAAATCATTGTTTCATGCACAAAAAGATATGTAAAAATACCATCATGCCATGATTTCTGTACCTAAGATATCTAATTATATGTGCTAAAAGATAGACAAGTAACAGACAGACTGCTCCCAAACATTAGCTCTTGATCTGTGTTTCTTTGTGTACACTTTTAAAAGAAAGTTTTACAGAAGAAACTTTCAAAACTTGGAAAGAAGCCAGGCAGTTGGCTCTTTTTAAAACATTAGCCCTTTGCAGAAACTCAAAAAATGAAAAGACCATCTACGGCCCAGTACAGTGGCAGTAAAGCGCCTGGAGACATTGTCCTCATGTGTTTCATACAGATAGAATGCCTGCTCTCCTTTGTGCTGATCACACCGTGTAATACAATGGTAACATTGTATTAATACAATGTAACACCACATAATACATACACTTAACAGCACTGATGTTTTCTTCAGTGGCGTAGTCACTGGTGAAGCTTAAATAACCTTCCACTCATGCTTGTGCAAGTAACACTAATTAAACACACCAGGAGGGGAATTTGTTGTGACAAAAAAGAAGATTCAACATCACCAGGAGGATGGTAAGAGGGTTGTAGGGGGTGAAAATGACTAAAATATATTATAGACATGTATTAAAATGTCAGAGTTGAAAAACTAAAACAGAACACAGAAAGCTGCTCAGCCTACTTACATAAACTGGAAGCGAAACACTTCTGCCATGTAAAAGTAAAAGCCTGCCATTGACAGAAATGTGCAGAGAATCTGTCCAAGTCTTTATCTTCAAGAGGTATGATTATATCTTAATTAAATTAAGTAATAGTGCGGTATAGATTTGACTCATGTATGCTATTGAAGAATTGTAGACAAAATTCCCAATAGCATTGCCATCGACAGAAAAGTCACAGTGTTCAGTAAATACCCCATGCACGGTACCTTCATTCCCGACCCCTAGGGTCTGCCAGCAGACACAAGTTAAGGACACAGCCGAGCCAGCAAGAGAAGGCCCATGAGTGAAACATGAACGTTCTTTGGGGTACAAAAATATTCTTATTGCCTAATAGTCTGGATGGTGATTAATGTAGTCTTCCAGAGTTTCAAGCAGGCACTAGCGAGTGTCCCTTGGACTAACGCCCAAACTGCTGCTCCTTCCCAGCTCATCACTCAGTGTAATGCAAAATACGTGGAATGCTTCAGTGCCCAGAAGGAGTGTAACAAGGAGAAGAACAGGAACTCTTCCGTCGTCCCAGGTGAGACTTTAGCTTCGCGGTTCGTTCGGTGAGCGGACATTTTAAAACTAGATTTACGTATTGTGCAAGACATGGCGTCATCGGTCCGATGAAAGGCATGGAGAAGCAGTGACTTTAGACACCGGCGGGTCGCTTGACCTATCTGACATGAAACCTAGTTTTGATTTGCCTCAAAATGCCACCATATTTCAACCTGAGAAAGTGATGATAAAGCTAGCATCCCTGTTGGCATTAAGACTTTGGGGTTTTCGATTAATCTGGACTAATTGGACTCATTAGAACTGCATCATTAAATTAGCTATTGAGAGCTGGGCCCTAGTGGTCTTTGGTGACGCTTGTATACATAACTAGGACTTAGCAGGGAATACTTTGCAAACCCCATAAACACGGGCATTTGTTGATCGTTGGATAATGAATATTGAATATTGGTTATCTCTATTGAAAAGGGTCACTGCTCTCTACACCCTTCATGCAGAGAAGGACACTGAGATGTTGCCAGAGAAGAGCAAAGTACAGTATATTGGCGACACTGTAGCAGGCATAAAAAACCAGGGTCAGGTTATGTGAAACGCTTTTCCGCGTTTACGCCCTTACGCTATGAAAGCCTTTCCTACAGTTCAATTCTTATCCTATAGTGTGTGACCCGTGTCCCCAGGGAAATTTTCATTTTATACCCTCCTTACCAGACAACCCTTAAGCGTGTTTAAATAAAATCAGCCATAGCAAGGAGCCGGGGAGTCATGCCATTCACCAGAGTAGAGCCTAGGAAGAATTGCGGTTTCCTTTGAACAATCAGGCAAATGTGGTGTTATTGTTTCTTTCCATATGATAAGCCGAGCGCGCTCGAGTGGGACTTGCACCGTTGCCCGGAATGAAAGGAACAGATTACATTAATGCTTCTTACATCATGGTGAGAGTCAACCGTTCACACCTTTCAGCTTAATTGGCTGTATTTACAATGAAGGAGTACATACCACCCCTGGGACTGAGTTCATTTTTCCAAGTAATTTCTCAATGTGTAACATCAAAAGTACAGAAATTTCTGTGCTTGGAACTTTTTAACAAAAGATGCCTAAAGGGTGGGAATACAAAAAAAAAAAATCTAAATTAAGCAAAAGGCTTCTTAAGGAATTAATTTTATTGTTAATTCGCCCAACTAGCCTTTAAATACGTGTTGAAATTGCTGTTAAGTAAAAACAGCAGGGGCAGCTTGGAAGTGAATTGCATGTGGAGAGAAAATTTCCTGCATAATATTCACAGAAGTACAACTTAAAATTAGCCATGCGGACCGAGTGCCTCTCTCCGTTTTTTTTTTTTTTTTTTTTTAGTGTAGCCAAAATAATGCTGCCTTGTTGCATGAACGTATTTTCCCACCCCAGAGTGCTAGCGATAACATCCGTAGTCACTGCTCCCCCCTCTCCCTCACCCAAGGGCTACTACAGAAGCAACGAATTCATTATAACCCAGCACCCTCTGCCGCACACGACGAAAGATTTCTGGAGGATGATCTGGGATCACAACGCACAGATCATCGTCATGCTGCCAGACAACCAGAGCCTGGTGAGTAGGGACACAGCTGCTGCCCGTCAGCAAGCCCACGAAGCCACCAACATGCGTTACCGTCATACCTTGCCATGGGCTGCTGTGTCTGCATATGCTAAGAAGGGCGCCTTCCACGTAGGACTGCCCCTCAATCGTGACTCCCCTGTGCTGTTTCTTACTGGTCTTCAACCACGCTGTACTGGATACAGGCTTTGAAAACATCCTTTTAGGAAACTCCCTCATATGACCTCACGCTGACTTCTTAGCCAGTGCATGGTACTTTCGGAAAATGGGTAACTGACTTCACGTATGGTATATGTGACTGTGTTTACCTTGCATGAATTAAGTTATTTAATAGCTGGAGAATGAAGGAGTGACCCTGTCCAAGAGCATACCATGGTAATTCAATTCGAATTTGTCCCTAAGTCATCTGCCCGTTCAAAGTCCACGCTAATCATTTTGCTTGGTCCCGTCGTACCACATCAGAGCACTGGGTCTCAGCTAAGAGCTAGTAGTGTTTCCATCCACAGTCAAGTCCACAGCGGAGATGATCGAGGAGAGGCTGCTTACATCCATCCTATGGAGAGGGTTTAAGCCACTAGTTTTTCTGTCCCTTAGTCCTTCTCTGTTAAGATTCCATAGAGGAGATGGGAAAGCACATTTAAAAACAGAATTCCATGTTTCTGTTTATATCTCATGCATATATATGTTTCAGAATTAGGTGCATCTTTAAAAAGGTATTCTGTGAATATGGAGCCTTACAAGATTAAACAAAAGTTTCTAATTAAGGAAGAACAGCCTGTGCTTGAACCCCTAGCCTGAATGACAATATTTGGCCATTTGCCCAGCCAATAGGAAAAATCTGTGCTCTAGCTTCAGAACCCAAGGCTGCTTCTGTAGGACGGGATGGCAGCGAGGTTGAGAAGCTTTAAGCTGAAAACCAAAGTCCAAGTGTTCAGATTAGCTGTGAAAGCGGCCCATTCTAGTTGGCCTATGGAAATGGAAGGCGTTTAGGGTTGAAACGTTCATTTCCTGGGTGAGTCAGTATTTTGTTCTAGTCAGTTAACAGAGGCCACTCACCACCAAGATTCCTCCCAGGGCTCATTTGTCTGGGAAAGCTAGGGAACAGTTAGACCCAACAAAGAGAACCATGTTGACCAGATAGAATCCAATGACTGATGTGGACTGTGGCATCTCAGGATCTCTCTGCAGCCAGGCTACAAGACTACCTGAAGTTGACATCATTTTGTTGTCTTTTTACTACCACTAGAACTATACAGCACTCTAATTTTTAATTGGCTTATAAGTCACTAATCTAATTAAAAAACAGTATTATCAATTCCTTTATATCTAGATAATCTCATACTTTTATATCTAGATGTTCATATCTTTAGGTCTAGATACTCATATCTAGATAGTATTATATATTTATATCTAGGTAATCTCTAGAACTTGCGATATTGAAACAGATGGATCAAGACTTCAAGGTTACCATCAGCTACAAAGTCTAGCCGGTACTCCATGAGGTGCTATCTGAAAAAAGATCTAATAATAAATAAATAAATGTATCAGTGAGAAGGAATGATGAACAACAGAGCAAGCAGTGTAAGACTCTGCGGGTCTTTATTTAGAGGGGAACCCGAGGAGAGGGTCTCTGTGGGAGTCAGCCTGTCTTGATCTTACAAGCTGGAGTAGGTACAGGACAGAAGGGAGGGGTAGAGAAGGAGGTGGGATTTTCCTTTTGGGCCCAAAGTTGGCCATTGATGGGGGGAGCCAGGAAGTTGTCAGTTAAAGAATGCCAGGTGATCAATAAACATCATTCATGGTAGCCATTACTGGGGGTAGAGCAGCCAAAAATCCAGAAAAAAAAATAGTTACATTACTACTAAATACCAAATTGCCATTGTTAAGGAATTTGTCTCAAATTAACAGATAGTGCATGTATAAGTATACACACACACACACACACACACACACACACACACACACACGCCTGTTGAAATAAGAAGTCACTCTTGGATCTGGGACTGGAGTTCAGTTGATAGAGTGCTTGCCTAGCATATTTGCAGCCTGGGTTTCATCCCCAGTACCACATAAAACTGTCTGTGACATATGCCTATAAATGTCAGTACTTGGGGAGCGAGAGACTGGGAGGACCAGGAGTTCAAGGTCAGCTTTGGTGCTGTGTAGCAAGCTCAAGCTCCCTCTGGGCAAAGGTGAATTTAATTGTTCAATCTCTCAAGATCCCTAATTACTCCTAATTCAATGTCTGTATATGGGAGTGTTTTTTCCTGCCTGTGATCTCTTTGACACCTTTAAACAAACTATATCATCAGTTATTCCTATTCTGTCTTTTGATAGTACAGGCTTGTTTTTTCAGAGGTATGAAGGCACGGGGAAAGAGAATACCAAGAAATTAATTTCCGCGTAGTGGTTGGATTCTGATGTTTCTGTTCATCTTAACTATATATCCTGAATCCGTTTACAGGGTCATACTTCCATTTCCTCGAACAAAGCATAAGAAAACTCACGGTTGTTCCAGACTTCTTTTGTATAGACTAAACCCAATTGTTAATCTGCTTCCCCTTATGCTGAGCTTTAAAAATAACAATGTACTTGGCAATAATCTATATTGAAGCTTGAAGGGGTGATAAGTCTCATTGGACTGCTGGCTCATTTCTGATGCGTCAATGTGAGCCCAAACAAAGTCTTCTTGGTTGTGAATCTTACCCCTGACTTCTGGGATAGTAAAGTAGGCATTCTCAGTAAGATACCCATGCAAACCTCCTTCCCGCAGGCAAGTGGGAGTTTCTCAGTTGAGCGCATTAGAAAGAGGAGGAAGAGGATAAAGCCTCATAATCTCATTCCATGGTCTCCTCCATTAGGCTTTTCTTTTCAGGGATAGAATTCAAGTACCAAGCCCGAATTTCTATTTTTAAACTTAAAATAGATGGACACATAAAGCTTGCATGTTCCAGAGCTGAACGGCTTCTGTGTTACCCCCCTCCTGAATCTGACACCACCAGGTTAGCTTGTCTGATAAAAGATGCCTTTTACCGAGGGCCTCTGCCTGCTGTGTGTGCACTGCCTCCTATCCAAAAAGGTGCAGTCTCGTACCCTTTATCAGCAGCGTGATTTAGACAGTCTATGGACATCTCTGAGTGTGTCTTCATTTGTCAAGACAGATGGTACCCATCCTATATCTAGTGGCTATCACCCAAAACTTATAAAGAACTCTAAAAAGTGGGCAAAAATGTTTTCAAGTATGACATAAATGATAAGCAGGTATGTACAAAGATACTCAGTGTTATTATCAATTCTTGTATTGTTGAAATAAGAGCGGCGGGGCTGCGTCCCCAACACCCCGGCCGCTTGCTAGCTCATGCCCGAAATAACAACACACAAACTGTATTCATTTAAGAACTGCTTGGCCCATGAACTCTAGCCCTTACAGGCTAATTCTCGCACCTGGACTAGCCCATTTCTAATGATGTGTGTAAGCACCCCAAGGTGCGCTTACCGGGAAGAGTCTAGCCTCCGTCCATCCTGGTGTCTCTG